TTCAAAATTTGGAGATTTCCATTGAGATTTGATGCTTTTGGAGGCTTGGTTCCACTGTGTGTGCTTTGCTGGCTAGTGTTTGCTTCTTCCCCCCCCCCCCTGTCCTGAAAGGTGCTCCCAATTCTTTGGAAGTTCTGGTCCTGGAACAAGGCTCTTTGAATGCGCCTCTTTGCTCCAATAGTACTTCAAAGCCTTGCCTGGGTGACACTCCAAGCATCCACTGTTCCATCTGCACTTGGAACAGATGTTTCTCTTTGAAAGGGTGCCTTCAATCTTGTACCTTGAAGCCTCACTCAGCTGTTCCAGCTTGAAGTACTTGCTATTGGCTTCAAGCAACTGCTGGGCTTTAATGGCTGCAGCACTGGTATGGCTCTTCAATTTGGAGAGCTGCTGCAAGGCTTTCTCCTTGGCTTTCTCTTGCTGGACTGCAACTTTCTCTGCCTTCTCTTCAAGTTCCTTCTTGGCTTCTTCAAGTTTCTTCTTCTCTGCTGAAAGCTGGTGCCACCAACCTACAAACTTCATCCTCAAAAGGTTAATGTTTGGGTGTCCTCTGGAAGCCAAGCCTTCAAACAAGCTGCAAGCCTCTTCCATCATGTATGCAAGAGTCCAAAGCCCACATGTGCTTCCAACTTGCTGGAATGAGTTGCAAATCTTCAAAGACACCTCTTCCTTCTGCAAAAGGCTGGCTATACTGCAAGCCTTCTTCAAGGAATCTTCTACTGGGTCTGCCAAGGTATCCCTGTACCTAAAAGACCACTTCCCTTCAACCCTCTCAGCTGTAAGCAGAGTCCAATGACAAATTGTCTTGGCACTCCAAATTGGACAAAGAAGCACCCGCGAATCTGATTCCCCAAAGTCTTGAATGGTCTTCTTCAACAACTCTCTTTGTGGAACATCCTCATCTCTCAAATACATTGTGGTCAAATAAGGGTCTATGAGGGCCACCTCCTTCAAGTAGTCCTGGAACTGCCACCTCAAAAGCTCAAAGCCAACCAGCATATGCTGAGAATCAAAGTTTTCATCATGACTTGGAAGGTCCATCAAATCATCACCAGCGCTTGCAAAGGGCTCTGGCTTCAAGCCAATCATGTAAAGGGCTTCACCTTTACTTTTTCTTGAAAGCTTGTTGAAAGGAGCCCACTCCTTCACTGGAAGCCATGTCTTTTGCTTGACAAGAAGACTTGAAACCTTGCAAGTCACAACTGCGAGCTTGTCTCCAAGGAGCTGGCAAAACTCACCCCCCATCTTTCTCCAAGCTCTTCACTTCAACCATCCCTTCTTGCCCATACTTCCCTTTCCCTTCACTCTCTGAAACAATTCTACAAAGAACTGTCTCCCCAGGAAGTTCAACAATTGCATCCAACTCTTTCTTCTTGTCAGCCTTCAAGGCTGCTGGAATGCCCTTGTCTGCCTCCTTCTTTGCCTTGCTTTTCTTGAGGTTTTTCAGAGCTGCTTTCTTGAAAATGGATGGCTTTGTCTTTGCACCAGGCTTGAAGATTGCTGAAATCTTCTTCTTGCTTGCATTGCTCTTGGCAACCACCTGTTCAATTGCTTCCTTCTTGCTCATTCCTTTAAGCTTCTCTCTAAGAGCCTTCAACAAACCAGGCCTTAAAGCTGCCCTGTGCTTGAGTCTTGCAGCTTTTTCCTTGGAGCTCTCAAGTACTTCTGAAAACTTTGCATCTTTCTGAGCTAAAAAAGCTGCCTTCCTCACCTTTGGATGAAGTCTCAAAAACAAGGAATTCTTCAAACCAAGCCCCAGAGACTCTTCAATGGAATCATCAATGTCTAGGGGATTCTCCTCCTCATCTTCAAGGGCTGGGTTTGTGTAAGCAGCCCAGTCTAGAAGGTTCTGAAGATTGGTTGCTGCCTGGCTCAAAGAGAACTCTGGCTCCATTGGAATGCCATTCTGCAACCAGCTCTTTCTGGGAACCAACCATTCACTTGGAATCCTGTGGCTCCCAAGGTCCAATTCTTTAAGACCACAATCCTTTGCTTCAAGTGGCTTCAAAGTCCCACTCTTGAAGTCTGGCCTGTAAATGACAAGTGCATTTCTGAAGGCTCCTTTAATCACCCATGAAGTCTCCAAGTTTCTCTTGACTGCAGCCTCCTGGGCTTGAAGGGTGGCTTCAATCACTGTCCTGTAGGAAATCTTGAAAGTACCCTCCTTGCCAGACTGCCTGTGAGAACTCCTCTTCTCTGCAAGAGCCTTTCTGAAATCAGCCTTGAAGGCTTTGGCAAAATCTGTGTCTGTCAGCTGCAACCTTTGGGTTGTCTTGCCTAAAAGAATTGCTGAAACTTGGTTTCCAAGGGCCTGGGTTTCTCTAATCTCATCAGAAAAAATGGCTGCAAAGCTATCTCTAATCCAGACTGCAACAGGTTCTTTTTCAATCTGGTCTTCAATCACCCACTTCAAAAGAACACTGTCAAGGTTGCAGGAAGGCTGACTCATAATGTCCAGCTTGCCTTCAAACAGCTCAGGAGCTTCCTTCCTCAAATCAACAGCCCACTTCAAGGCCCTTGAAGCCTCACCTGCCTTGTGAACAATCTTTTGACCTGCAACTTCAAACTCCTCACTTTTAATCCACCTGCCATTGCTGTCAAGATTTGACAGCCTTGCATGCACCCCTGGAAAAACCAGGAGTCCAGCAGCAACCTCCCCTCTAACACCATCACTCCCAACTGGCAGGCCTACAATCCTTTGGCGCGCCTCATAAGTGATTCTAAACTTGGAATTCTCTGCAACCCCCTTGGCAGTCAAACTTCCTGCAATCCTCCTTTCACCTGCAAACTTGCTTACGCCTTCCAAGGTCACCACCTGGCTGGACGCATCTTCTGGATTGAAGAAATCAACAGCTTGAAGCATGTCTTTCCTGAACAGATCAAACTGCTTCCTGTCTGCAGTTGTGATGCCTGAAAGTTCTGCACTAGAAACCACCATCTTTGAACTCTCAGCTTTGGCCCAAAGTGGGACCTGGTCTGAAAAGCCAATGGTCAGCAATTCCCTAACTTCAGGCTTCAACACATCCTTGGGGTCTGCAAAGATATCAGACTTCAAGAGGTCTTCCTCAGGGGATGCACCTGCAAGCCACACCATTCTGTCAATGGCTTGCCAAGACAATTGAGCCCGCGTCTTCTCTTCAAGTGCACTCAAAGGGCTTACCAACTCCTTGCTCACTTCCTTTGAACCACAGTACTCTAAAAGCCTTGTGGAGAAAGACTGCCTGTACTTCTTGCTGCCTAGAAGTTTGTCCCTTCTGGCAAAGTAATACTTGGCTTCAAGGTTCCAAGACTTCTTCTGGGCCTCACTCTTTGAAAGCTCTGCTTGCTTCAAACATTCTTGGGCTGAAGAAATCAGTTGTGCTAGAAACTCATCCAGGAGGTCACCCTTTGCAAGCACAACTCCATTGGACCTCTCCTTCAAAATCATTTCTTTGACCTTGTCAATCTCCTTCTGAAACTCCAACTTTCTGCCTGCACCCTTTGCCCTGACTAACCTTGACCCTACAACTCTGCCTCTCTTCATCTTCAACTTTGACTTTTGGTCTTCAAAGTGTTTCTTTTTGGACATGAGGTGCTTCAAGGTCCTGGTGTCTAGGCCATATCTGGACCTGCCTTTCTTGAAGAGCTCTTTGCTGCTGGAAGATTCCTTTTGCATACTCTCCAAGTCCTCTGCAATCTTGACTTTCTCTACAACTGAGAACTCCTTTCTCCTTGAAGGCTGGCCAGCTCTTTTCCTGTTACTCTTCAATCCAGCAGTGCTGTACTCTTCAACACGTGGTCTGCCTCCAAGTTTTCCTGTCTCAACAGGACTTGGAACAATAGCCTTCTCTGCCTCTAAATCCTCCACTACCTTCAATCTCTTCATATATTGCTGCTTCAACTCATCAAGCCCAATCTCTCTAACAGATCTCTTTCTTTCTTTCCCTAAAACCTTTCTCTCCAAAACAGGTCTTGCTTCTGCCTGCTCTTTTGGACTGCCAAAAAAACTTCTCCAAACCAAATTGTGACAAAGGTGATTTGCCACTGGAATTGGTACCCTGGCTATCTTCAAGATGTTCTTGGCTGGAAACTGGACTCTTGAAGCTTGATGTTGGTCTATCTGGTGTCTTGAACTGGTCTGAAAGCTTTCTTTGAACCACTGGAGCAGAAGTCTTCTCTTGAGCCTGCTTCAAAATCTGTTCTGCCTTCAACTCTGCTTCCCTTAAAATTTGATCTGCCTTCCTTTGTGCTTCTGCAATCAGGTCTTTTTCTTCAAAGCCCTCCATCTGCTAAGGAGGAGTGGTGGCCAAAAAATGAGATTACCTTTCATGAATATATCTAACTATAACAATTAGATATAAACTGATAGTTGCCTGACATTATTTAGGGGGGGCCCTAGAATAATGTCTAGAGATTTGAGGCTTTAAATCTGTGTTTCCT